TTCCCTTCTGTTCTCCCTGTTTTCTGGGGCTCCTTTAGGAGGCCAGAGGTGACCTCCTTCACTCTCACCCAGCAGCGACAGGCCCCAGTAGGCTCCTCCTGTTCTGTGTATCCGTCTTCCTGGCATCTTCAGTCTCTCCTTATCCCTCCGCTCCTTGTCATCTCCACTTCCGACACTGAATGCCTAGAAGCAGAACGTTCACTTACATAACCTTGGCTGTGCAGCTAATGTCCTGGTCTATATCTGCTGTGTAGTGATGTCAGAGCTGTCTAGAGAGGCAGAGGGCATGCTGGATAGGCCTGTGCACGGTGTCAGCAGCTACTCCTGCTGAGCACAGCAAGTGGGATGTTCATCGGGATGATTCTGGATGGACAGCTGATTGTATGTCTGTTATATTACTCAGTTTTAATGAAACCTATATGAATGAGACATAAGGAATCTTCCTGACATGCCTGCCATGAGGGAGCAGCTACACTGTTTGCCCATATGTCAAGCTGAGTATCTCAAGGCATCACTGGCCTGATGTAGAGTTTCATGGCGTTTTCAAATATACTTATTGAACCTTGTAATAACTGCTATTAGTATCCGATGTTCATCACACATGACTTGTTTAATGTTTCCCTTTCATCACATAAATGAACATCCTAGACTACAGTGGAAGGACATGTCTGTTCCTGTCCTGCATTTACCTTCTGTTAGACCTCAGTTAAATATTCATCATCCCATAGAAACTGGGCCCCAAAGGTGCTTTATGTTCTCCTCCCTAATTGGATCACAGCAGCCATATGCTGTAGACTTGTAGCTTGAGCAAGATCTGTTCAACTGTGATAGAAACAACCAACTACTAAATGTCATCTACAGCAATCATCATGGGATTCTGTACTGAAAGTGGGTTTTTAGCATTTGTGATAGTGTACAGATTGTGTTTACCAGCATACTGTATTTAGATGCATGTCAACATCTGTCAAAGAGCACTTGTAGAGAAATTTTTTTTTGGGCAAATAAATCTGCTCCTTTATACATGAGGAAATTACCCGCTGACTTTTGGTATGTATGGTAATTAATAGAATCCAAGCATGAATGAAATGTTGACGACCTGCTGATTTGTTTTGCCAGACACTGACTGAGAGTCAGCCTCCTCTCACAAACCTCCTCTTGTTCCACCATATTCAATTATGATGAGCAATGCACTGTGTGCAGCTTGTTGCTTCAGCTGCTTTCAGTGCTGATGCTGCACTTCAGCTGATGCTAACTGACACCGTCTTGTCATGTTACCAGAGGTAGGAGTAATCCTTGAATCCAAATTTTATTATTTTTGGACTAGGCCCCTCCATGACTGCATCCTGCGACCTGTTACCTTGTGACGGTCTGCCAGTTCTGGTAGGTTGCCAGGTTTGTGAGTATTGCAGCGGTGGTTCAGGAGGTAGAGCAGCTCGTCTCCTGACCTGAAGGTTGGTGGTTTGATTCCCGGCTTCGCCAGTCCACATGTTGGAGTGTCCTTGAGCAGTTGCTCTCAGTGATGACACCTGGTGCGTGAATGTGCAAGTGTTTGGGAGTGCGAATGGCCAAATAGTGTTGGAAGCGCTTTGAGTGCGCTGCAATGCAGAGAAAAGCGCTGTACAAGTCTATGACCGTTTACCAAGTTGTTTCAAAAACAAAAGGTAACTTCTCAATATCTAGAAAAATTTAAATAATTTAAAAAGTCATCTGTCTCAAGTCATAAGCAGCAAATCAAGTCGTGTCTTTTACCAGTGTTAACCAAGCAAGCTTACAAATTTGCGAGTTAAGTCTGACATGAGTCAAGCCTAGTGACTCGAGTCCTCCACCTCTGCATTTTATACATTTGAACTGGCACTCATTTCTTTCAGGACTTCCACTGATGTGTCCGGCTCAATCCACACCTACATGGTAATCATTGCTATTGGATACCTGAGTTTCCCTTGGGGTCAATAACGTACCTACCTACCTACCTACCTATACCCAGCCCTCTCCTCCCCTCAACAGACATGTTAGCTGGAGCTGTACCTGCCTTATATTAGCTTATTGCAGGTATATCAGTGTTTGCAACTGATGAGTAAAAATAATTGCAGGATAGAAATGCCAAACCAGGTCTGAAGTAAACAAAGAAACAGTGTCACCATTATATATTTAATCTATGAGATAATGT